TACATATGCAGGCTTCCCACCAGCTCATCTTAGTTTTTATAAATGGGGTAGGGGGAGGAGCTGATGTTGGGATCTGGGAGTGAGAGGTGAGAATCCCTTTAACAGAGTCCTGAATCAGTAAAAGGTAAGAACTTTGACCTACCACCCAGCACTAAATGTTCACCAACCATTCTCTATTTGATTGTTTGCTGTCTGTAGGGGGCGGCACAACTCAAGGAAAAGGAAGAAGAAGAAGATCAAGGGATTTTTTTTTAGTAGAAACTGGTTTCTTCAAAGAAATGTAGGACCTGAATTGGTCACAAGGGGGTGATAGAGGCAAGCACAAAATCAGAACCCGCTTATCCACTCCTGTCTTTAGAAAAGCCTTCGTTAATGCTAATTAATTTTTTTTTGGGGGGGGGGGGCTTCAATATCTTTGGGGCGCAAATGAGGGGTGGAACAGAAAAGTGAGGCTTTAAGGGAAGAGATACAAGTCAAGAGAATGAGTAGAGGCAGGGGAATTGAAAAGATGGGCATTTGTGGGGGCAAGGAGGGGTAGTGAAAGTGGCTGGAAGTGTGCCTGAGATAAATGGGAGATATTTGGAGAGAGTGGAAGGGAGGGAAGGAGGGAGGGAGGCAGAGAGAGAGAGAGATCAATTGGTTGCTTCCTACATGTGCCCCAACCCGGCCTAAGATCAAGCCTGCAACCAAAGTACAGTATGTACCCTTGACTGGAATCAAACAAAAGACCCTTCAGTCCGAAGGCAAATGCTCTATCCACTTAGCCAAACCAGCCAGGGCATAAATGGGAGATATTTGAAAACTAGAGTTCTCACTCTAAAGAGAGGGGACATGTACTTCTCCTAATCTCTATTCTCTCTTGTCTGTCTACCAGTAGACATAGTTCTAGGCAAGGAAGAAAGGAAAGTGCTCCACACAATGCGATATCCAGGAGGCATGTCTGAGTCAGAATATAGGTCTAGAAGCAAATGAGCTTCTCCCTCTCCCAGCCTTTTTTCTCCTCCCCTCTCACTTTGGTGAAGGGAAAATCAAACGTTATACTCCTGAGAAAACAATAAGGTAGGAAAAAAGCAGACTAAAAACATTTTTAAATTAAGACCCTAAACAAAAAAAAGAGATACTGATACCCTTGTAACCTGACTTTTGACATGTGTATCTGTGGAGACTCAGATCAAAGCTTTATATGTTTGCATTGCCCCTAGTTCCATGTTGGATTGCAGATAGTGCAGTTTGTGTACAGGAAAAGATGGTTCAAATATCTCCTTACTAGAATATCACAACTAGATGGCCGATTCAAGTGTAGGAACATTCTTTGACTTGTCATAGATGTGGGATATACACAAATTAGTTATTTTGTGAAAGCACGTCTGGAGGTCAGGGCTAGAAGTTGCTGGTGTTCAACCGCTAATCATGAGAGGGTACAGCCAGACTAAGAAAAAAAACAACACAGAAAAATAGGGAGGTTCAGACAGGGTTGAGTATAGGTAAGAGCTCTGGACCTTAGTCAAAGATACAGGAAAAGGCAAGTCCTGAGAATGAGGCAGAAATCAACTGCGGGTAGTAAGCACTCAAGGCTTCCCGAAAGAACATGGCCTCAATAAAGAAGAATCACCATTTGCCTAATGGAAATGATAACTTTTTTTGTGAAGCTTAAGCCATTTAAAATGTTCAGCTGTGCTCTTGGCCTCTCCAAGGGTCCTTTCATTCAGGGAAAAATGTTTGCTCAGCCCGAGGATGCTGGTTTTTCATTTAGCCACAATATCAGTAGTCATTTGGCCAGCCTCCCCATTGTTGGAAACACCATCCCCACTCCCGACCCCACTGTGAAGCAGGCGTTCTGTGCCCTGGATGGCGAGAGTGCCGGTGTGGAAAATCAGGGCCAGATTAAGATGTCCGTCAGTGAAGTGTGTCGGGAAACTGTGTCACATTGCTGCAACTCATTTCTGCAGCAGGCCGGATTAAATTTGTTAATAAGCATGACAGTTATTAATAACATGCTTGCCAAATCCGTTTCAGACCCGAGGTTTCCTTTGATATCAGAGGGAAGTGGATGTGCTGAGGTTCATGTTTTGAAACAGTTGATGGGTTTGTCTGAAAAACCAGTCTTGGCAGGGGAATTGCTGGGTCCCCAAATGCTGCTCTCATTCATGCCCCTCTTTATTGGGAACGGAAACGGACAGGTTCTCCCGGACACCCTGGCCTCTTAAAAGACCATCCCAAACAGAATGGGACCAAATCTACCCACAACCCATTTGGGGAACACACACTTGTGTTCTCATTCAAAGACTCTGCAGAGGGTGCTATAGAAGATCCAGCCTTAGCCATCACCACATCATGGGGTGAAAGTCACACTTGCTAAATCGAGGACCACATTATTATTGGTGGGGCAGAGGTTCCCACTGAGCTCTGAGTGACTTCTGGTTGTGCAGTCTACAGGTAATGTGCATTGTAAATTACTTCCTTACTTCTTCCTGTGGTAAAGGGCTCATCGCAGCTGCCAGCTGTGGATAAAGCATCAGGAAGGATGCTTGCCTTTGGTGGTCTCCCTGTCTAAGCCGGACTGTCTTGTGGAGACCAGACACATATCAGAGCTTGTGCTGAAAATGCTTTTGTCGCTGTGTATGTCAAATTCTTTTTTGTTTACCCTTTCTTCTACACCAGCTGATGGATGGTGAACCCGTTCATCAGAAAAGTGCACTCCCTTCCCATGTTCTGTGCTGACTTAACCTCATCCACCCAAGTCTACATTTGTATGTTTCATCAATAAACTTGTGTGCTTTGACTGGCGAAAATGAGACATGGTACTTGTCCTTGAGTTGACAGTGTGCATGAGGAGAAAGACAAAACTGCAGGATAAATGCTAACTGGATCAGGGAGGAGGGAAGGGAGGCATTTGCTCCAACAAATGCACTCTTATCAGTGCTCACAGGAGGCAGGGGTAGAGATGGGCTGCAGTGTTCAGGAAAACCTCAGCAAGGGGTTGGGGGCTGAGGGAAGGTGAGGGCGTGGAGGGGGTTTGGTGGAATTAGGATAAAATGCTGGGAGGACTGAAAGAGACAACACCTGTGAAGCAGGCAGCACAGTGCCTGGCACCTGGCACCTGGCACCTGGCACCTGGCACAAAAAAATCCCTTGATGAAGGTGTCTTTCCTTGACTGCCAGCCTAGAGAGGAATGTCAGTATCCTTGGGTTTGTCTACACATCCTTGGGGGCCACTGGGCAACCCATCCCTGCACACTTAATGGACGATTGTAGCAATAATGGTTTCCACTTGCTGAGTGTCTACTTTGTGTCATTCTCTTCTGGGAAGCTGCTGTTAAACCTACTTCCAGAACCCCTCCTTTTCTTGGGGTCCCAAGACCAAATTCCTGGCAGAGTGAGAAGAGTTGGCTGCCCCTGCTTCTCTTGGTGGAATTACCTTTCTGCACCATCCTGGAACCTTCGGTGGGATCCAGGAAGAGGAGAGTGGAGTTCTCCACCAACGTCCTTTAGGGGTCATAGGGCAGACGCTGGGGGTGCTTGGAATGGCTGTGGCTATTCCATTGATCAAGAGACACATCCTCCCCTCCATCCAAGCTCCCAATACCCTTTAGAGCAGCGGTTCTCAACCTGTGGTTTGCGACCCCTTTGGTGGTCGAACGACCCTTTCACAGGGGCTGCCTAAGACCATCCTGCATATCAGATATTTACATTACGATTCACAACAGTAGCAACATTACAGTTATGAAGTAGCAACGAAAATAATTTTATGGTTGGGTCACAACATGAGGAACTGTATTTAAAGGGCCAGAAGGTTGAGAACCACTGCCTTAGAGGAAAGGAAGAGCCCAGCTCTAACCACTGAACCACTTCATTGAAATGGGCAACTCATTTCCAGACCCGTGTCAATGGGCCTTAGACCCTGTGTCGCCAAAGCCGGGTTCCCTGTGTGTTTTGGATGTGTCAGGCAATGGCCCTGTTCCTCAAAGCTCTGGCCAGCTCAGTGGACAAGAAGCTTCCCTTGCGCAGTAATGCTTCTGTGCCCGTTGCCCTCTGCTGGTCTCTTGGGATGCTGCTCTGGGCCACTGTGCCCCAGGCATCAGTGCTCTCCAAGTGTTCTGCCTCCTGACTATTCTCCACAGAGAGTGTAGTTTTATTTTAGTTTTTCTCCCTTTTCCCAGAGTTTGGTTTGCAGGTGGGTTACAGCTCTCCTGCCTGTTCCCATTGCCCTACGCTTCAGGCTGTCTAGTGGGCACTGGTGCTTGCCAGGTCCCTGGGGCCATCTCAGGGATCCTCCACACAAGAATGGGGGTGCGACCTCTTCCCAGGTCTCGGTACCTTGGACGGCTGGCACATGATGCCAGGTTGCAGTGACACCACACCCCCAATAAGGATCAGCGCCCTGGGGCTTTCTTGCTGGCTCTGGAGCCCTGTCTTGTTTCCTAAGAGCTGGTAATGCGACCATCTTTTTCTCCCAAGCAAGCCTCGGGTGGCCTGGACAATCTGTTTTCCAATCTGTAGGATTGCCCTGCAGACAGTCCCTGCATCCACTTGTCCCCGTGGTGCAGTCAGCATGGCTCATGCTGTCTTCAGTGACACCTTACGACTCGGCCTCTTTAACCTCAGCACAAAGGCAGGGGGGTTTCTCCTTCCTCCTGGCTCAGGATCCCAAATGAACACGCGCCTCCCTGCTTCTCTGCCCTCTGCTGAATTCCCCTTGTGTTATGCATCAAGCCGTTTCCCCCCAGGCCTGAGGAAGGCACTTGGTGCTTGCAGGCCACAACTGACTCCCAACACAGGGAGGGCCTCGGAGACTTTCTGCCCATCTCTGTCACAGGGGAGCCTGCCTGCATTGAAGTGTCTCCATGGTGTGGCCTTGGCCCAGCCAAGAGCCTCCTCTCCACTTGCTGGCACTGCCCTTCCAAAGATACTCCCTGTGTCTGGAAGCTCAGCCCTCTGGTATGCCCTTCATCCCTTGGTGGGTTGCTGTGCCAGGGCAGGGGCCCAGTTCCCAGTGGATTCTGCCTGCGGACATGGAGGGGAGTCCAGAGCATGCCTGCCAGTCACGGTCCGATTAAGATATTCAGATGGCAGCCCAGCCTGTGTTGCTCAGTGGTTGATCATCGACCTATGAACCAGGAGGTCACGGTTCGATTTCTGGTCAGGGCATGTGGCTGGGTAGCGGGTTCCATCCCCAGTGTGGGGCATGCGGGAGGCAGCCGGTCAGTGATTCTCTCTCATCATTGATGTTTCTCTCTCTCTCTCTCTCTCCCTCTCCCTTCCTCTAGGAAATCAATAAAAATATATTTTTTAAAAAAGATATTCAGAGGCCATCAGCACTGGAAAGACTCTGGCGCCCACTCCCATACTGAATTAAAAATGAAACAGTAAGAGACCTCCAAGCACAAAACTTACCTACCTTCCTGCTGCAACTAACAGAGATTCTTTCTGGGTTTCCCAATGGTAAACATTTGACATGGTCATCAAAGCTTGAGCTTGTCACACTCTGTGGGGAGGTGTCCTGCCCTAATGGGGCTGCCCCAGCCTAAGCTGTCTCTTGTGTAAATCTGGAGCTGCTGCCACAGCCTGGCTGCCTTCTAGTCCCAGAAAGGGCCTTGGCTTTTCTTCTTATTCATCTCATCATTACATCTACATTTGGTGCTGTAGATACCACATTAACTCCCAGTGCCCTCCCCAGCCTGCTGCCTCTCCTGGGGAATCTGTGGTTTTACAACCTGCATTTCTCTCTCTCCACCCCCCCCCCGCCGCCTCCTCCGCCCCCCCCCTACACACACCCCATAAGTGCAGGCAAGGTTTCAGACATCCAGCTTCCCAGCTCAAGTATCATCCAGCTTCCCAGCTCAAATATCCAGTCCCAAACTCTGCATCCTCACCGTGGCCCTATGTGCCACTCTGAAAGTAGTTTCAACCACAATTCTCTCACTTTGAAGTGCCACCCACAGACAGGCACAGCACTCACCAAGTCAATCTCCAAGCTGCCATAGCACCATTTGGCTAAGAGTGACAGATGGGTGGAGGACTGGCTCCCTGCTCCCTTTTAGGGGCCACTGATTGGTATGGGATCCAGGTGGGTGCCACTCAGAGTCCAGCATAGTCTTGCAGAGGATCGGCCAAGCCCGTGTCTGCTACACATGCTGCGTGCAGCACCTCACACTCTGTCACTTCCCTCCATTCTTTGGCAGGTAGTGATCCAACTTTACTACTTTTTCTAAATGGATAACCAGTTAACCCAGCATCATTTATCACTCCACCCTCATGCTGCAGAGTAGCACATTCTGGGATCCTCATGCACCCAGCTGAGCGTCCCTTCTGTGGCCTCCTGGTGTTCAAGTCCCTCCTGAGGCACACCCCTTTCTCCCAGGAACCTCTAACTTAGGAACCTCAGATCCCTGGGCGACCAGAAGGGGTGTGTGTTGCTGGGGAGGAGTGTGTTGGCGCTTGTGAGCAGGCTTCTGCCCCAAGTTCCTTCTCAGGACATACTCTGGCCCACAGGAAACTTGGGAACCCTCACCCGGCCTATTTCGCACCATTGGAAACCGGGGACTGGTTTCTTCCCTCGCCAAAATTACTTTATTTGTGTGAGAGAAAAGCAAGTTTTTTTCTATGTATAGACTTGCCAGCCATATGGTATCCATTAACCACATTTGAAATATGGCTATTGTCAGGCAGTGGTTTCTCTCAACTCTTCCCTTGAATTTTTTAGTGGCATATTTGATCAATCTAGAATTTTACATTTCCTGTCAATGTTTTCCTGTTGGACTTATATATTTTCATTTTGCTTAGGACAGTCTTTCACACTCCAAGTTTAGTAGAAAACATTTGCCTATATTTACTTCTAGCATAAGTAGTTTCCTTTTTATAGTAAGCCCCTTTAAACTACTAATAGTATGTGTGTGCTTGTTGCCATGTGCGTGTGTGTGTGCGCTCACGTGCGCATGTGCATTTGGTTTGACATAGACTTTGTATGTAAATTTTCTCTAAATTTATAATTAGTTGTACTAATGTCACTTATTGCAGAATCCATTTTTTAGAATTGATTGAAATTACATTGAGTTTATGGATAATTGGCAGATATTAGTATCTACAATTTCCCATTTAGGCATATTTATTTAGATATTTTTTTGTTGCTCATTGTTGTTTTCTTCATAATCATCTTTCACATTTCTTTTGGGGATTATTCCTGCATATTTGTTTTATTGCTTTTGTCAGTGGACATGC